TTAACATGAAAACATAAAACTACGTAAATCTGTCATCAAGTGCATAGGAAATACAGGTGTTGTGGCCACAAGCCGCGTTGTCTCAGACAACTGATTTTGTGCCCTTCATGTCTCATCTAATCCAAATTGACCATTAAAACCGGCCATAGATTCAAACCGATGAGAGAAAATCACAGATCGAATACGAGTCAATACAAAAACGCATCCAATTCGATCATAATCCAAACAAACAACAAAACCAACGAATCAAATCACCCTAGTACGATTGGGATAAGAGCAAAACGAAATCCAAAAACGCCCAAACAAAAATTCAAAATTCAAAAATAAAAAATAAATAAATCGAATCGGAGATCAGATTAACATAATTACCTGAAATCTGAGATGAGATCTAAAGGAACGAAACAGATAAGGAGCTGAAGAGAGTGAGTGAGAGAGAGTCAGAGCGTACTGAACTGAACAACAAGAAGAAGCAACACCAACAGCGGTTACAATCACAAGCTCTGGACTCGAATTAAAATTAATAATAACAAATATTATCTAAAAGCACACGTTAACAAAAAAAATAATACAAAAAGAATAATAATAATAATATCAATAATAATCGAATTTCATTTAAATAATAATAATCGCATTTATTTATTATTGTTATAACTATTATTTGGTCTCCAGATTAATTAATTTATTAAATTAGAGATTAGAGTGTGTTGTGCTGTGTACAGCGCGTAAAGGCGGTGTCTTTTGCCCGGGCGACGGGCCCGCGTTTGAATTGAATAAATTATTGTTTTTGTTTTTGTGTGTTGTTTATTATTATTATTATTAGGGATTAGTGTTTGCTATTTTCTTTTTTTGAAAAAAATATTTATCCTTTTGAACGATACAACTTATATCATTTCACTTTTATAAAGAAGTGGGACCCACATCTTTATTTTTTTTTGTCAACTCTCTCTCCTCTTTATCTATCTCTTTCTTAAATAACATAATTTTACATCATTTAAAATAACACACATTTTTTCCTTCTTTTTTATAAATCATATATATGTCTTACGGAAGACAATTCTGTTAGGGAAAGTTATAGAATTAAGATTTTAAACCTCTTCCGAAGATGATATTGTGAAGAATTGAAAACATGCTCTCATTCTCATCTACTTAGCTCTTATGTGTTAACAGAGCTATTTGGTAGTTTTGACATTTTAAATGGCATATAATTATTTCATTTTAATCAAAATTATTGTATTCTATTGTGAAAAAAACAAAAAATCATAGTGAAAGAAGGTGAGAGGTTTTTTAATTTAAATATTAAATAAAAAATTAATTTTAATTAAAATATTATTTTTTAAAAGGAAAAAAATTTTATTATTATTATTATTTTATTTTTTAGGGTATTGGTATATCATTCATTATTGAAGGAAACCAATTTGGTAGAAAACCATTTGAATTATAGGGGGAAGAAGTCAAAGATATCAACGCCTATTGTTGTTTCATTAACTTGATGACCACCATCATAGACTCTCTCTTTTTCTTTTGGTAAATAACCACCATCATAGACGCTATTGTGAATTGTGATGGCCTGAATTTCATTTTTCTTGTTGTCTGTGGACCCTTTTGTAAAAATTATTGTGCAAAGGATTAACCGTGCATTTAAATTTATTTTGTAATTCCACTATTGTTAATATATATATATATATATATATATATATATATATGAAAAAACATTTCGCAAGCAGCTTGAGATAAGTTTATTTCCGGCGACTCCAAAACTACGTCGTTTTGTTTATTTATTTCCTTATATTAATTTATTCACCTTTAAATGGTTATGATTCCTTTTTTTTTTCTCTTCTTTTATCACCATTGATTAATCTTTGTACGGTTATGATTTAGTAGCCGGAGATGAAGTTATCTCCGGCAGCTTGAGAAATGATAAGTCCATATATATATATATATATATATATATATATATATATATATATATATATAGGGTGATCAAAAGTAAATAAAATAATACTTCATTTCATATTAAATATGATATTTTATACATTATTTACCACACTAAATGAATTTAACTTTTCATGTAATTACTATTATAATTAAACTATTTCAATAACAATCTAAATTTGCAAAGCATAAATGAAAGATACTGAAAAACAATTACAACCGATCAAAGTAAAACTCTTATTTCAATATCGAAAATTTGTTAGTACAGCATAATCTCTAATATTTATTAATTATTATTATATTAAACAAGGGCAATGCTTTTCTTGCATGAGAAAGTATCTCTCATACCACATACCAATAAAGATTTGAACTTTTATTATATTTTTATTTTTTTAAGTAGGGGACCTATTAAAATTATGTCTATAATAAAAGATTATTATCTCATATTGCATAAGAGTCTATTATCCGTTTAAACAAACCTCTAAACATTTATGGTAAACCCAACATACAGTATTCGACGATTCATTAAAGATCATGAAACCTTAGCAACACGCCATAATTTTCCCATACTTATCTGACATTTGGTGGTTGGCATATTAGTATGGATTAACGTTAGTAATATAATACCAAATGGTGGTAGCTCAGTTGGCGCATGAGAGCTAAGCAGGTGGGGGTAAGAGCATGTATTCGAATCTCTTCAGTATCACCTCTGAGAGGGGTTTAAAGCTTTAATCCTGGATCCGCCCCGAATCGGATTAATTGCGAAACAATGAACCGATTGGAATATTTCTAAAAAAAGAAAAAGTTAGTAATGTAATATATTTTTTAATATTTTTTTTAAATTATTTTATTATTAGGTAAAATCTTATATAAATTTCACTAAATATCTTGAAGTCTTGAACCTACCCAGTCCATATTAGTGAAAACAGCATAAAATTTCACTTAATAACTAAAAAAGGATTAAAAAGAAATGTCAAAGATTTTAAAGTATTTTTCGATCAGGATGGTAAAACTTAATGTACCCAAATTAAATTCATAAAGATTAGAGTGAGAATTTAAATAAAGAAAAAAATGTTACTGCAGTTAATGCAGATAAGTTATCTGCATTTATTCTCAAAACGACGTTATTTTGAAATAAATCTTTGGTACTACTATTGTACCAAAGATTCAATGCATCCCACCAATAAAAATATTACATGTCAATTAATTTTATTTTATTTTCTGTCAATTTTTTTCTCTTCTCTGATGTGTAATGCTCTCATTGATAAGATACACTGAATCTAGGTACTGCAGTAGTACCAAAGATTTATTCGTTATTGCACCACTAGGGATAGCCTAGTGGTGTTGGGTGTGTTTAGTGTGTATTAGGTGTGCGGTTCGATTTCCTGTAATGTCCAAAAAAAAGATTTATTCGTTATTTTAGTATTGAAATCTTAAAAAAATTAAATATATAGACTATTATAACCCTGAAATAAATTAAAATTATAAAAATACTATAATTTCCGTCTCAAAATAACATCGTATTGCGCATGCAGCATATAACTTATATGCAGTAGTCGGAGAAAAAACAAAACCTTAAATAAATGCTTAAAGTGTATTTTTTTATTCACAAAAAAAAAAAATCGTAAAGATGCTCGTGAGTCGTGAGAGTTTAAACAAATGCTGGAGTACTGATACATATCGCTGATATCAGAAAAGAAACTCTTCATTCATTGTAAGTTTTTACTCTCATTGTACTTTTCTTCTCCTCTTAAAACACATGGCTTCATCAATGTTTACTATTTTTTTTTACAGTGTTCATAAATTTTAAGGGTTGTTTTTTCTAATGTTGCATAAAATAACAAACCTTCTTGCTTAAACTATAAAAAGATGTGTCATTTAAAAAAAAAAAAAAAAGATAAGACCCACAATTATTGTATCTATAGCATGATTTTGAAAATTTTTGGTAACATAATTCTTATATTTTCCAAATTTTAAATTATTAATTACTTTTACAGTTTTGTTTCTACGTTTTATCTCTTTTCAAATTTCAACTGTCTATATTTTAAAATGATTTCTCTTTATTTTATTTACATTAATTTTTAATATTTGTAATTAATTCTTTTCAATTCTCCTTTTTTACTTAAAATTTGTTTTCCCTCTCAAATTTCAACTATTATATTCTTATATACTAAATTAACAAGTGTGCTGAGCATTACACAAAACTATATTACTTTATCATGAAAATGGCTTAGTCTTCTATTTACCTTTCTTTTAAAATGACCCATATTATTCTTATTTTATTTATTTTTTAAATTAATTATATGTATTTTTTATAATTTTAAGTTTTTTTAATCTATGTTTTGTGAAGTCTATCTAAACTATTTATGGAAAATATCCTTTATAATTTTAAATATTGTAATATATTATTTTTATAAACAGCAACCGGTATTAATCCAATTAAATTTGAACCTCTCCGTCCTTCCCACGAGCTAGGGCTTACCAGAATCGAACCTATTACTCTGCAGATCAAAAACTTTTGGATAATTAGAATAAATATCGTAATTTATTCTAATTTATACTTTCTAAACTTTACCTAAATTAGAATACTAAATACTTCTTAGTTTTAATAAAGTCCAGCTAAATTCAGAAATAGTTATTAAATGTAATAAAATGACTAAAATCACTTATTCTACAAATATCACCATGAAAGTAAAATCATTGTTATTTTTTCAAGTACAATTATGTCAGAAAATTTGACAAAAAAGGATCTAATTTTATAGAATTTTTTTAATTGTTATGCTTAAGTTTGTGAAATCATCTCTACTCTTTAAACAAAGACTAACCTCCAGACTGATAGTCCTCTTTCCTAAACGAGAACATCCGTTCTAATGTATTTACTCGCTGCATAATCAAACTCGTATAAGAGCAACGCTATCTTTTTCTTCCCATGCAAGTTTAACATCTGCGTTGGGCATATTTGTCGATTAGCCCAAAAAATTGAAAGAAAAAAAGAAAGAAAAATATAGCACTTGACAGATTAGATTCCACATACTTCTGACAGCATGATCAATCAATGATTTCACAGATATCCTGATTCCCATGTTATCCCAGTTGTGGACTTCAACAAACCCTATAAACTCTATATCACTTTCAATAGAACAGGATAAAGGGGAGAGAGGGTTTTGGGAAAAGGGAAGGGGGAAGGAAATCAGTAATGATTCCCTTTCCTAGTTACTCTTTCTAGTTTTCATGCATATCTTTCCTCATCAAATAGGAAGCAATGAGGGGCAAAATTACGAGTTGAGCAGCGGAAATAATAATGGAACAGAATAGACTTGATTAATCATTACCTAAGCGATGCATAGGCGTAGACTACGGTGAAAAGGGTAAATATACCAAGAGTAGGGACAAAAAAAATGAGTTATATAGACACGTAAATCCTGAAGGGGTTTGGGTAAGCTTATATTAGCCAAAAGCAGCAACAGAGCAAATAAAAAAAAAAAAAAACAATCAATTTACTTCCCCCACATGCTGCATAAACGGCCAGTTTGGCTCACAGATGTCAAGCGGGGAACTGCCATCATTATCCTTTGAATCTCTGTCTGCATTATGCTTCACTAAAAACTCAGCTATGGCTTCCCTCTCACACATAACGGCGTAATGTAATGGAGTTTGTCCATCATTATCCTTCCAAAAAGAAAATATAATATCAATAATAAATTTGACATCAGTGTTAATAATTAAAAGATGCGCAAAAGCATCTTCAAAAGCCTAAGCTAAAGTTTGAGATTGTGCAACTTATGCAGTGAGGAATATTGCCTTGTTCAAAATCCAATTAAGGTTCTGTCCTGTTTTCATTTTTTAGAGTTATGGCGATGCCAATAAAGCATACAGATAGCTCTGGACGGTTTATGTTAAAACATATTCATGAATACCTTGGGATTTACGTCAGCATTCCTACCGACAAGCAGCTCTGTGGCATTAAGGTGACCACGATCCACAGCCCAGTGTAATGGTGTCCGACCCTCACTGTCTGCAACCATTTCAAAAATGCATGTTGATAAAGAATAGCAAAAATAATAATAGTAGTCAAAAGCAAATATTAAGTTTAGACAGTAGCATATGGAATAATGAAACATAGATACTTTCATAAGCACGTTGATCCTTATGAATATCGGTAGCTGACTGATAACCCACTGTGGCATGAGATAGTAATACCAATCACAATAAGAGCACCGACAATCTTGTGATGGGCAATCTTACTATATTATCTCAAGCCAGATTGGCCATTAAACTCCTGTTTTCATATATAAATTTAGGGTTTTATAATTCTCATGTTGAAGGAGAATTGAAATCTCATGTTGTAGAGGTAAAAAGCATGTGGGACCCATGTGTAAGAAAAAATTATATGTAGGACCCATGTCAGCACGGAAATCGAAGGGTGTGTAGAAAAATTATAATTCTCATGTTAAATGAGAATTATAAAACCCATAAATTTAACTTACAAACAGTTGCTTACAAAATCCATCATTTGTTAAGGAAATGTATTATGAAATACAAGAACAATTGTAATGTCAGTATAGTTAATTCCCTCCCTATGTATCAAACTTTCTCTTTTTTGAAACCAACAGTGAATCACAGATATTACTCCTACCTAAGAACATAGGTGCAAGAGAGATCAAGTGCGAATGAAAAACTAGGAAGAAACATAAGGCAAGACAGGTTTCTTCATTTCAGCTAATTTTCATAACTGAAAGCAAGTACTACAAGATTTATTTTGTTTTTGCGTCACATCAGTTATCAGTCCACTTTCTATCTTCAAATAGGACTTCAAGCTAGTTACTTAAAGCTTGTGACAAACAATAAGCACCTATATGATCTTGTTAGGCTTGTCAAGCAATGCTGCTAAAATTCCCGTAGATGTTGTCTCACTAAATTAGTGAATGTACTTCCTGATGCGTAGCACAAGTTTTTATGAGCATGGTCCACTTACAAACCAAAAAGTAAAAACAAAATAAAATTATTGACAACTCAAAGCACACTTGAAGATAATATAAAAACACTATGAAAAGCAAATAGCGACAAATAACTCACCCTTCAAATTCACTGAAACACCATTTTCAATACACTTGAGCAGATTATCCATATCTCCTTCTCTGGCAAATCCATGAATGGCATCCATTTTCCTGTAAAGGAAGATAATGAAGCATGACATCTATCAACGTTTTGTTCTTTCCAGAAACTGTACCCTTTTGACGATGAATCTTTTTTACTTCTGAATTTTATTGTTGTTTAAAGGTTATTCATAAGATAAACTTGATAGTTGGTACTTTTCATATTGAAATAAGTCAATAAAATGATTAAGCTTGCTAATTTATAATTAAAAACAACCTTGTGATCAGCCTATAAAATCCTCCTGAATGTCAATAGCTTAAGGGGGGAAAATTCACACTCAGAAGTCAGAATAGGTGAAGGTGAGGCTTGATGATTAGTGTAAAGACAAAAGGGTGATGTACGAGAAAGAGGAAATTAGGCATGACAAGTAGACAGTTTAATATAAACACAAGGACATTAAGAATGACAAGTAGACAGATTAAAAATAAACATGAGAAGGAGCAATATCAAGCAAAGGATAGAGAACCATGCCAAAGATTCTATACTATCTTATTCCCCATCATTCAAAGCATAGAAACTTCAAACTTGCCAATATAAGAATACTGTATTAAGTTCAGTACTTGTTCCTTCTGGACTCAGACGCAAAACTGCCTATCACAAGGATTCCAAACATTTCAAATTTGCAAGATATACTTCCATTTTTCAAGGAATAATTGTTGCAAAACAAAAGTAAATGCCAAGCTTACCTATTATTAAAAATGCAAATAGGTGACTATCCAAACCACAGAGAACTCCAAACAAAGTAATTGTGCTAATTAGTTATATGAAACAAGGTACCAAAATCATAAATCCAAAATTGTACTGCATCCTTAGAAAGAGGTGACTTTGTTGGGAGGCACACATTGGGAACTTAACCAATGAATATAATAGTAGTGTTGCAACTCCCAAAAGAAAATATTAAATTAAAAAAATCAAAGAAGGTTGTTTTGATCCCTGGAAGTTGCTCCCGATTTAATATGACCATTTCCAACACTACTAACCCACAAAGAAGTGTTTTCTCCCTGTTCTTTTAAACTAACCATTCAATTTGTTACATTCTAAATTGGCAAGACCTCTCATCATTTTGAGTGTATCCTAGCTAGGGGTGTAAATAGGCCAGCAGCCTATTACAAATAGTCAAATAGAACAAGGCTTCAAAAAAAGTCTATTTAGAAAACAGACCATAAGCTTTCTGTTACATGCCAGGTCTATAAGCCTACAGAACGACCTATATCATATTATTTATTTTAAATAAAATAAATAAATTATTATTTTAATGATTTTGAATAATAAAGTAATATTATTTTAATTATTGAATACCTATTAGGCTAACAGGTTTAGGCCAAAGTTTTTGTTTTTTAAATATAAGTCAAACCAGACTTATAATTATAGTTATCAAATGCGGATTGCAGCATATCACGACCAACCCCAAAAAACGCTATAGCGTTCTAGTGGGTTGCGGTTGCGGAAATAGCGGAATAGATATATGACAGAAATAATGACAAAAAGAAACATTTTTTAAAGGCAGAGATAGCAGAAGTGATAGAGAAAGACACAGATAGACTAAAAAAACCCTTAAATTTTTTCTGTTACACATTTAAATTTAGGACAAAATTGACATTTTGCCTTATGACAGCAATATGGCCGCAAATGCGATCAAAATGGCCGCTATTGCGTTCCGGTGCAGCGCAGCGCGGTTTCTTGTGGCGAGGCACCGCAACGCCTATATGGTGCTATTGCGGCGCAATGAACTACTATGCTTATAATTCAGGCCTACACAAGGCTAACAGACCAAGTCAGACCTAAAGTATTTTACACAAAACTGGCCTATTTAAGCCAAAGCCTAACCCAACCTATTTACACCCCTAATCCTAGCATATAAAATAACATAGTTATGAAGAGAAACAATCTTATGCAGTGACTCCCTTTTACGAATGAGCACTGGTAAACAGCTAAAAATAACACTTTTAGTTGAAGAAAAATAAAGAAGCAGGAACCTATGAACCAAACTGTATCAGGAATAGCAGGAATAGCAGGAAAAGCAGCAAAATGAACATTCATATTACCAGAATGAAGTCTGATTTTTTATATTTTATTTAGAGAATAGTAACAATAAATTAGAGATACCAAAAGGTATAATAATATAAAAAGACCCAAGATAAGAGGTGCGACTGCAAGAATCACATCAAAGCCTTTGGAAAGGGTCCTGCCAACATAAACAGGACTAAAGAAGAGGAGAGAGAGCGTCACTATCCCAGGCGAGGATTAGCCTCACTCTCAAATAGTTCAAGAAACCTCATAAGACCAAAAAAAATGAGTGAAGAAGCAAAAACCATTAGAATTACCCTTTCTAGACAGATGTCAGGGTAACATCAATGAAATAATAATTACCACCATATATATATGCACTACAAATTAGCTATGAATTTCCATCTAGATATATGCACTAAAACTCATGCAATTTGAAGTTTTAGGAATCTTACGAGTCACTGCCATGTTCTTCTTCATAAACAAAAGTGCTGAATACTGGTCCCATTGGTCCCTTGGCCTCTGAATTAGGGCCACCACCATCTCCACCTTTGCCCCTCTGTGACAGACACAACAGGAGTTTAAGTAGAGACAATACAAAAACAAACACATTGAATGTATGTGATCATTTTACTTTCATTTTAAATATAACTTTTCTTCCTTTTGATGAAAAAGAGCGATTCATCCATCCAGAGCACAAGAAACAGCTTATTAGCTCACCAAAGATGAACCATCAAGCCAAGTAGGATATAGCTCTGTCACAATATCAATGTACTTCTGCATTGCATCTTCAGGAGGCATAGCACCCAATTTCTGCCACGCTTGCCTAGAAATGGAGAGGAGTTAGCAACAAAGCAAATTTTTGTTATAGGGAAAGAACCTTATTTGACCAACTACGAAAAAAGGCTAATACAATAATAGTCAATAGTAGCACATAAGATATTCCCCACATTCTCAGCTTTAGTAGTGCAAACTACAAATACGTCCAATAAGCTCAATAATCGCCAATCCCACATTACATACATTGAACAGTACACAAGATTCCAAATATATATAATTAACCTTCAAAGCGCATAGTTGCGTACTGTTAAAGCTCTTTCCTTTCCTTTTTTTTTTTGTTATGGTTTTTCTCTGCAGTCTCGAACCGAGCAATTTTAGAGAAAACAATGGCTATAAGAATAGTGAGTACCATTTGGCTCGAGCTGTCATTTTGAGGGGTGAAGGTTGGGGCGTGCTACAGGGACCTTCGGTGGCGATCTTATACAACCCGTAAAGCTGAAGCTGAACGTCGCTGGACACCTTCTGCGAGAGCCGATCGGCGGCGGCGGCGGCGACGAAAGCCGTGGCGGCACTGAAAGCCTCGTCTAATTCAGTGCTTTCCACACCTTCCCAATCGTCTTCGTCGTAGTCATCGTCGCCGCCGTCAACGCTTTCGTTCCTCACGCTACCTTGCTCGGCCATCACCGACTCGTCCTCGAACCCGAACCGTTGGTGGGGATCGGAAACGGCGTCGTTGAGCTTGACATCGGGTTCTGTGCTGGTGATGGTGGTGGTGCGTGTGATGGTGAGATTGTCGTCCTTGAAGGAGACAACGATGGAGATGAGCTTAGCGATAAGGTAAGAGAAAATGAGGCCAATGAAAATGGATTGCAAGAGAGACTGCCACTCACCCATGGCCATCGTCGAAACCCTAAAAAGTTAAAATGGGTTTTTAGGGCAATTGGATGGGTCGTATGGATAAGCTAAAACCCTAGAAATTGTTCATATAGTTCCAGAGCGAGATAAAACCAATGGAATTAACGAAATTGAGGAAGATTGCGAAGGAATTTTCAGAGAGAAAGAACCATGCACCGATAAAGGAGGGCGTGTTGGCGCCTGGAGCAGTTATCAAGTGCTTCGAGGAGTACGTCTGATTTTACGGCAAGGTTTTTCAAACAGCAACACGTGTACTCAGTCATTAATTATTTAAGAGATTTAAGGATGAAAAAAGAAAAAGAATATTTGGAACAAATTTTCTTCTTTTACTTTTCTTTTTGTTGACGAGATGGACCACGTAATTAATTATTTAAGATGGTGTTTGGTATAGGAGAAATTTTTTTTAGTAAAAAAATATAATTATAAGGAAAAACATGGGAAAGTAAGTTTGATATGAAAGTTTAAAAAAAGTTATTTGGTAACGTAAAATATTACTGGAAAAATTAGGTTAAATATCATGAGTTTATATTTGGTTGAAAATAAAATTTTGATGGGAAAATGGGTGGAAATTACGAAAGTAACCTTTTTTAAAATTTTAAATGTTACAACATGTGGTTGAGAAGAGGGGTAATTTTGTCACCATTTTCATCCACTTTTTGCATTTATCCGATTTTCATAGAAATACCACGTTGGAAGTTGCATTCGTTAACAGTGCATTTGTAGCTTTTTTACATGCATTTGTCAATAGCTAGGCAACTGTGTTTGATGGGTAAAATTATTCATTCCTCTACCAAACGGGGACAACCGACAATACCATATGCACTCCGAACCAAACGCCACCAAAGGGTGTTGTTTTTTCTCCGTTTTTACGAGAAAACAACACTCCCAAATGGTGCATTTTTTTAATTTTATTTTAGTTTGCGGGACCCACAAGCTCGTGTTTGTGCGAAAATGGGATTTATTTCTCCTAAGAAACAAATACCTCATGTTTTAATGGGAAAAAAATTTCCCTGCTACTGTTTAATCTCTGAATTGGATGTTATATGTTATGTTTTAAATTTGTTTTATGTTGGAAACAAGATTTATGTGTTAATTTGTGCATGATATATCATGTTCATAAATCATAAAACAATAACATGATAAAGGATCTTGTGAATACATGATTTTCACATACACATAAAAGATAAAGACATACCAGATCTCGATGATGAGACGTTAACAACAGTCATCTTGTCAGAAATTGTATTGGGGTAGTTTCTCTCTCTAAGCCTTCTTTCTTTCTATGTATTCTGATGGAGAGAATGACATTAGGGTTGAAGGGGAGAGAGGACTATCCCTAATATATATATTTCATAACTTATAATCTGGTACGTCCATCATATACCAAATCGATGACATAATTGAGATTAAATGTATCAGTAATTAATTGGGCCATATAACGTTTAATAGGTAATATCAAGAGTCTTAATATTATACTTATAATAAAATCATTTTAATATTATAATTGACTCTTAATATTTCTAACATTCTCTCACTTGGCTCGATTAATCATAACATACATGTTTATCTCTAATGTTAGTCATCATAAAGGATAAATTGTCAAGTGTGAGTTATGACGGTAGTGCGCTATTAGACAGTTAGGTTGTTAGAAAAGTAACAAACTTTGAAATAAAATTCCTTTCCATCTTCAGCTTATATAAGAAGTGGAGAAGGGAATCAAAATGTACTTCTGGCTTTTGAGCAATAACAGAACTTATTTCTCATCTCCTCTATTTTCTTCTTTTCCTTCTCAACTATTCTAATCGATAGGATAGGCTTGCCTATCATGGGAGGATACAACAAATTAAAGAAGCATTTTATTTAGCTGCGTTACATAATTTGTAGAGAATTATAGTTTAGTTATATCAATATTAACATTTAAGCTCAGTTTGAACCTGGCTAGCAGCAATAACGGGAAATGCAATTTGAAACTAAAGAAGTTGTTGTTAATTGTAGTGATCAGCATAAGCATCTAGTTAATTACAACACACCAATGCAGGATTCAAACCGAAATACATAAGCATCTACTTAAGAATTTTCACTAATATGGCCTAGTTGTTATTGCAGCTTCCACATGTACTACCTCATAAACCCCTTCTTCTGCAGCTTCCATGTGTACCGCCTCATAAAAAAACTTGTAAACTGAAGTGCACCTCTAACATTGGGGAACAATTGTGGAGGAGGAAGAGAGAGAAGTGATTAAAAGAACGATGCTGATATAAAAGAAGAAGATGATGATCACCTATCATACTCAGTGCAATCAACTTGTGTATCCATTTTGAAGACAGTCGATTGCTCCAAATTTTGAAATGATAAGCTCTTGAATTCATATATTAACATTCAACTTGAACTAATATTAATCCTGATCGGTGCTTGCTGGTTGTATTACTTTTTTGAGACACGTCCTTTGCTGAAGCTTAACAGTGAAAAACTAACCATTAATATTGATTGATCAGGCTAATATAGAACTAACAGGTCTTATATTTCATACTATTGAAAACGTCCTCACTGCCATTTTTTAATTGCAGTAATTAACTGAGCCAGAAAGCATGTGATATTTTCAAATTATTTCCTAATCTATATATCATAACCTAATATATCTAGGAGTCATTCTCTATTATATTGGGGTATTATTTGTTTATATCTCTAATTTTGTTATCTATATGAGCACTTTAATCTAAAATATATTTTTCTCTCGCACTTGATAAATATCCCCTCATTGCAGTTCTTGACATTGAGATAGTAGTACTGAAATAAATAATCGATAACTTGTTATATACACTGTTGGGTGGTAATGAACTAGTGTACCATTCCAAGTTGGTAAGTTAAAAGGAATTAAACACTTTATGTCCTCCGTTATACTGATTAACTACTTTCAGTAGTGTTCGTTGTATGGTACAAGAAACTCTTTTCTACCTGTTTTGAACAAACCTATCAAATTTTATATTGTGATCTTTTATGTTGAAGTCTTATATATTTTGATATGTTGCATCAGCTTGGACAAATTTTCATAAATACCTTTACTTGACAGACATACTACGTTTAAGGTATTATTTAGAGTTCTATCCTCGTGTGACAATAATTTGGGCATTAATAGTCTCATTTATTACTTGATGTATGCATTTGTGCACTTGGGTTGAAGTCAGGAGAACGAATGTGTTTTCACTTGATGAACTGAATTAAAGGAACGTCCATGCAAAGAACATTTTAAGCAACCAACAAGTTCACACCCAATTGTAGTGGTTGTTGTATGGTACAAGAAACTTTTTCTACCTGTTTTGAACAAACATATCAAATTTTATATTGTGATCTTTTATGTTGAAGTCTTATATATATATTGCATCTAGGGGTGATAAAGGAGTCAGGGGCCTTTGGCTCGACTCGTGAAGGCCTGAGCTTGTATGCCTAATATTGGTTGTTGGAATCAGGCGTGGACTTTTATACAAGCTCGTTTAGTAAAAAGGCCTCAGGCTTCAATTCAAAAGCTCGGCCTTGAAGCCTCTCAGGCTGGCCTAGTATATTAATTTTTATTTTTATTTATATTTTTTATACTATTTTTAATAGCCCTCTCTCTCCTCTCAATCCATTTCATCCCTATTTTATTAGTTAAACAGACTTTTTGAATGATTTTGTTCTATATTTTGTTGTTTGGATATACATTGGATTCATGAATATTTATGGAATTACTAGTGTTGTTGATTGTATATTCTGTTTAGATAAATTTTTGTTGTCTTATATTTTTTTTAACAGGCTAAATCAGGCTTTTATTTTTTGTAAATAAGGCAGGCCACAGGCCAATAATTATATTCATAACAAGTAACAGGCTTGGTAAGGCCGACACATTTAAACACAGGCTCAGCCTTTTAAGACCAAAGCTCGGCTCGGCTCGGCCCGTTAACACCCCTAGTTACATCAGCTTGGACAAATTTTCATAAATACCTTTACTTAACAGCCATACTACGTGAGATATTGATGTTCAGCTGAAAATTTAGACTCTATTTAAATTGAGATTTGTGTATCTACATAATCCAGTTATCTTCTGAAATTCTCTAAATGTAAGTCTGTCATGTTTTAGTTATGTTCTGATTATGCCTCAAGGATAAGGTGTCTGTCTGTCTTTGTATCTAGTTAGTTAGAAACTGCATGTAATAAAATCAAATTAGTATGGTTAATGCACTGTCATTGAACCAATATTGACATTGTGTACATATTATTAGTTTACTCTGGCGTGTTTTAGCTTTACCTCATATACGTTGTACGCATTAATACTTCCACTGCTATTGTATAATTTTGGTTAACACTCTTGTTATTGGCAATCCCAAATTCTGCTATTTGTATTCCTAACATACTCAATGCTTGAGTAAGGTAAATTTTATCACTCAAGTGAAATATTTTGAGACTGGACAAAATTCTCTGTTGCATAAGTTCTTATTGTGATCTATCTGTTAATTGTTGGCAAAAATCATTGATTTTCGTGCATTTGACCAGCCAATCTACTGAGAACTTACACTAACATCAGTACTAGCTTATTTCATTGGTGGTAAGAACGATAAATTATTTCCACAATAGTTCATGTTTAAGTGTTATGCAATTCAAATGTTTTAAACCCTTATTAAGTAAATAGGTTTAATTAGGGGTATATAAGCTTAGACACCAAGAATCTTCCTCTCCTCTTTTCTGTTGGGTCTCGGTTAACGTATATAAGCTTAGACAACAGTGAAGTTAGACTTAGGAGGTCTTGCACGTGGGAGGAGGGACTAGGAATGGAGCCACAAACCAAGCTCAAGCTCAAGCTCGTATGATAGGATCATCCATCTTCAAGGGTAAAACCCGATGAGCTTTCTTCAGTTCTTCCTCTATGAATTTTGAAGTTCCTATTTAAGATCATACATGCTCTAGGTGGGGTTAAAGATTTTGGGTCGTGATGATGGGAATGGGTAGATTGCCATACCCTCAAGCTTTTCTTTTGTTAACCGTAACGAGGTTGGGGTTATTGGTGAAATTCCTATTTTTAATTCTTTGAATCAAACTTACATGTGTCCAGTGATGTGAGTTTTGGGGAAAATATGTTGCATGTAGGCTGTTTGTGTTAATGACCGAGAGTCTTCTATCATATGAAGGATTGTACAATCCTTGTCTATAGGCAAATGAAAATGTGG